GAACCAGGGCTGGTTTGCATATCTTTACGAAAGCCTTATTACACACAAAGCCGGTGAATGTCGATACGGGCAGCCGATGCATTCCAACGCACCACCATCGCTGGCCGCATATATTGACCTTTCCATAGCCAGCTCATGCATTTGGGTTCAGCAATCCTTTCCCGACGCCATAAAGGACTTAATTGCCAGCTAAAATCTGATTCACGATAATGAGACATTCCTATTCTGTGGACGCGGAAAAATCATGGCCTGACTTTCATTCAGCGGAGGATTTAATTGCTCTTTTACGGCTCCCAGGGGCAATTTACATTTTAGACCCAGATTCACTCCTGTATTCATTTTCTTCCCCACCCTGATTCCCCATATGAATTCTTTATTTTTACGAAGAGGTGGCAGGCTTTGCCAGCTTTAATTGCAGTGATCTAATTAAATTGGCAGCGATTTTTATTTCGACGCTGAGTGCTTTTGTGCGCCCGCAAAGAAAACACTCGTCGTGCTCAGAGATGCGCTTGACATTAAATGAAAACATCAGCTAGGATGAGGGCCCTCGCTGGGCCGTACCACTGCACTGCGCCAACTTATTACAAACACGACACGCTTCAGCAGTCAGCAGCATCACAGGGAGGTGGCATGTATGTAGTTCGGTATTGGCTCCCGAACGATTAGCAATATTGAACCTAGTTGGAACTGGAGATAGTGTAACTGGAGATAGTGTGATAGTTATCCTTCTTTTGTTCCTTTCCCACTGGTTGTAGACTTCATATCTAGCCCAGCACCTTCAATAGTTTCGTTTGTATGGCCTAGGACGGTTGTGTGAACTCTGCCCGCACTTCCATGGCCGGTTCAATGAGGGAGGGGTATTTCGACACTCAACAGGACCAAAGCTGTTCAATGGGGACTGAGCGTCAGAAAGGGGAGGGTAGACAAGAGAGGAAGAGGAAGTAGAGAGGGCGTGAATAGAGGGAGTAAGGGAGAGAGGAGCGGAACTCACCGCGGCAGAAGGAACGGGCCAGTGACGCATTTATGTGGACGAACTTTCTAAGTAGCGGATTGCATGCGTGTGATATTACACACGAAGCCGCATGAAGTGGTATGCTCACAGATGCATCTTAGAACCGATGCTGTCGAGTTTTTTTTCCAACGCTACCAAAGGGACCGATGCATTTAGCGACATAATTTTACATTGATTCTGCCCAATGGGATATCAAAGAAGTGATAGACGTCGCTGGCTCGATACGGCCGGGTGTTGCCGTTTGAAGTGTTCATTTGCATGGGCCGGCTCTCAGAATACGGCGGCACGGGTGTCATCTCATAATGGCGCCGTACTTAATCACGTTCGGAAAGCGCGCCTCCCCCTAACAGCATTTCTCAACGTCAGATGCTCCCCATCAGCACCAGTCAAACTTGTCTCCAATGCAAAATAGCCAAACTTTGTATCTCCTTCTTATCGTTTGCCACCCGCACAGCTCAATAAACTTTAATCCAGTTTGGCACCGGCTGCGGCGCCCCCGTTCAATGTACATTTGCATTCATCGAAAGACTGTCATTCCAAATTTTGAATAACACCGTAAACTGTTTAAAAGCGTCCGCCTGTTTTACATAGGAGCGTCATTTGAATATAGAGCTGGCCACGGGATTACCGCGGAGCCGGCGCTTCTAATGCCGTATAATGGAGAGCTCGGCGCGGTGCCGCCGACAGCACGCCAATATTTGCATTTTTATTAAACCTTTTCCACCTTGGAATCAAATATGGCCCGTGTGTAACGATGAGTGATGATTTCCCGACTTATGTTAATTATCAGCAGTATCTGCTGCACGTGCCCGGCTTAGTAAGGCATTCGGCCGAGTGGCGACCCTCGGAGCTCTGCTCTGCTGTGCAGTGTGCACCGGACGGTGGGGCGGGGGAGGGGGAGTGGGGCGGATGTGCGTAACACTGCACTGAGCGTCCTGCGGCTAACCGCACTCTATCACCATTACCAGCACATCACAGCACATCATACTAGAAGCACACCACAGTCCATCAGTAATGAGCCCAACGTGCTCTGTGAGTGAAGTGGAGGCAGGACAGTCGCCGCACCGGACTGGTGACGAGCCTAAGGCAACGAAAAATGAACTGAAACCCACGGATACCAACAGCCCACCACGGCTCGCGTCACCGACTAAACTCGTCTATAATGATGCCAAATGAACCGTCTGTGCTCAAACTTCAAACAGTCGGGCCCAAACAGACGCTGGAGGAAATAAACATGGCCGCAAACAGTCGAAAGGGGAGCCGTACCTACAACTTGCTACATGGACGAGTCAAACAGGTATACGTATGGTTAAAGGGCTAAAAAGACAGTTCAAAATATAAATCCACACAAAGAGACATATATCTACAATTCTACAGACAGACATACAGTCAGACACACACAGACAGACATATTCAAAGACGGGCATACAGACAGAAGGACATACAGACAGACAGACAGACAGACGGACGGACTGGTGCAGGTCGGCGGTCGGTATAAACCGACCTCACCACTCGTCTGTTCACCGGCCGGCAGTGCGAGTACACGGCCATTGTGCTGCTGCTGCCGGCTGACACGGCGATGAGCTTAATTATCGGCCGGGCCGTATCATTTCTGCGGTCCACTGGGCCGTGGCCGGCTCAGCCAGTCTACAATCAGACTGACAGTTTTATGATTTAGAGCCACTTTTGAAGGCAACATGAATCAGCGTGCCTTTGAGCCGCGAATCGGGCGTCCGGCCTTTGTTGAGAGAATTTCCACGTGAGGGTATCACTCGGTTCTCGGGAAGTGATATCGTTTTGCATTGGTGTGCAGGCGCTGGCACGTGAATAGCCTAGTAATACTCGGCTCTCCACAGTCGGATGCAGAACAATAACTGCGGCGGAGTATGATTTACTTTCCCCGGCGAGTGGAGCTCAACAGACCACGCCTCCGCTTGCAAACAGCAGTGCTTCAAATCAAACGATTTCTGCAGCTTCAGCATATCACGGCCAAATCAGCGTTCCTCTGTACGAATGCGCCTGTTTGATTCTTTACGGATGTGGGTCGGCAGTTTGCATTGTGCACCAGGAGCGGGCCGATCGAGGAGTGACTCTGACAGCGTCAAATTACTTACCGCTTGTACTGCGAGAGGAAAGCCGGCGCCTAATCACGGGAGCTAAATTTGGCTTTGTTCTACATATCAAACGGAGAGCGGCGCTCTGCTATCAGTATATGAAACGCTACCAGTCGGAATTAATGATCGATCTCATCTGAGCGGCCGTCTCCGATAGCAGATCAAAGAATGCCTCTTGGCGTCGCGCAGCGTGAGATAATGAGAAGGTAAACGCATTACCTGTGCGCCATTTGTGCCCAATCGCGGCGCGGCGATTGCGACGCGCCATCGAGCGGCGCGCGGCGCTAATGACGCGCCTGTGACGAGGCGCGGCGCGGCGGACAATGCGGCGCGCCGGCCGTATCAATTTGTCGCCGCGGCTTCAGAGTGGCCGCCGGTGTCGGCGCCCATTGTGGCGCCGCGGCCGGCCGACCCCCGCCGGCCCGTTGTCTTGTAATTCGCCGCGGCGGGCGGGGGGCGGCCGGTGACAGTAGGCCGCCGCCGCCCCCGCCGCCGCCCGCGCCCCCCGCCGGGCGGCCCGTGCCAGGTGCCGCCGCTGCAGACCCACTGCTGAGCTCACAGCGGCGTCCGCAGCTCTCCGCTCAGGTGTTACAGCCGCTACCGTATCACTGCCGGCGGCCGGCCGCTCAGCATTCGGCTCACATCGGCACCGGTTTCACCACACAGCAGTGATTGCACTCAGTTAATTATTTACTTGCTCAGTTATGACTGAGAACATGTGAACATTCAACAACTGTAGACCGTCTCCCACCTTCAGTAAATTTGTGAGCATTATTTATTTCTTCCAATTAAGTCGCTGCGCAATCGAGTTGAATTTATTCCCTTCCCACTGGCTTTGATCTGAATCTTTCTCGCTATCATTTGCCCGGTATGCGGTTCCACACCGCCCCGTTTCTGCTGTAACTCGGCCGGTGGTGATATTTCACTGGACTCTGGCGCCGAGCTGACCACTGCGGCCCGTCAGTGCCGGTCAGATCTGCAGCTGGGACGGCCGGCCCGGCCAGCCAGCCTCCTTCTGCCCTGATCTGTGGGCTGGGCGGGCCCAATTAGACATGACTCGGCTCTAAACACTCACGTGTTCCGACTATAGATGAATCGATTCGTGCGAATCGCGCTCGATCTGCAGGGCCGGGCCATGCGCTGTCATCTGAGACAAACGATAGCCGCGCGGCCGCTTTTACGGCTGGAAAATAACAGTGGCACCGGCCCAAAGGGTGGCCGATGTCTTCATTGCGCCATCGCCGGTATCATTGTAATGAGCGACGGCGTACCGTACACCCGCTCTCACTTAATTGCCTATCAGTGCACGGACCAGCGCGCACGTGAAGGCCAGCCGAGGTGTTGGCCACCGCCGCGCTGGTGAGCAGTGGCTGCGGTTCTCTCACTCCGCGCGCCCACTGCAGTACCAAGCAGACATTCTGGCTCGGGCGGTCACGGGCGCCGCGGCCGGCCGGCATTCCGCACTCGGACGCCGGCGGATGGCCGCTGCGCGCGTCTCCATATGGTTTATAATAACACACCTCCCGGCCGGGTAATTACACGCTGACAACCGGCGAGGGCCGGCCGAGGCGCGAGGAGGGCCGGGCCGGCCGCTCCACCGCCCGTTGCAGTCGGACTGACGCGCCTCCGGCCGGCCACTCCGGGGGCGGAGACTGCCACGAATGGCCGTGCCCGCCGATAACACCGACGACTTGAACGCCGTGTCTCTGACTAAGACGCTAGCACCGGCCGGTGGCGCCGCCTGCCCGCCCGCCTCCCACCCGCCCAGCCGTCCGTCGCTCGCCGCCCGCCGCCCGCCAAGACTGTGCCCTGGGTGATAAAATACTCAACGTATAGGTACGCAATGACGAATTGGTGACCTGTGTAACCCGCAGGCTGAAGGACCACCGAGGGGAGCAGGAGAGGCCGGCCGGATTCGACGCCCGGCCGCGAGACCTCAGTCTCAACAGCGGTGAGTGGAACTCGCGCGCGCCGGCTGCAGCGCTCACGTCGCGGCGATCATGTGTTTATGGCGAGCTTTACTAGCACCGTGCTTATAGTCGCCATGTCCCATAAGAAAGAGAAAACTACGTAGATAATTGGATGGCGCTTTCTATTCATCGTGATGGATGTTCAATTGTTCAGCATAGACTGTCATTATGTTTAAATACTCCATCAAAATTACGCTTCGTAAGGTTGATCTATTAATGACAACGAATTACAGTAGGGTTCTACTGGTATGCATCTTTTAGGCAGACACTAATCAACTCAAAGCGTGAGTTGTCATTCTTTTTATCATCACACGTCACCCAACATCAAGCTCCTACGTAACTCACGTCACCGTGCGTCACATCCACGTCCCTCTGATCACCCGTGTCTCTCTCGCGGCGTCTCGGCAGGCTCACCGAACGGCCACAGTCCGGTGCTGAACCTCTCAAAGTCTGCCGACGGCACCAACTCCGACGGCCAGGCGTCCAACCGCGACGAAGACGAGGACGAAGACGACGAACGACTCAGCGAGCCCAACGACCACGACGACAAGGAGCCCGACGGTGAGTGAGAAGGGGTTCCGAATCACCGAACTCATTTGGTTCTTTTATATTCCGCATGCTCTGATGATTCTCACCGTCCTAACCTTACGATTCTCCGGTCTAGTCGCCGACCGTGCTGAGTTTTTCCTCGTTTTTGTTTTACGTTTTCTTACGTCTCCTGACGCCTCGCCTCTCTCTTGCCGCCATTATTTGTGTGGCATTCCTTCTCCATCTTCTCACGGTTCTTTGTTCTTGGCTACCTGTTCGTCCATTCACGGCTGTAATTTCTCCGCCCCTGGATCAGTCATTCAGAAGCGATGTTTCTAAATGTGTCAGTCAATCTGACAGAATGATTGGCACATTGTTTCCGAATATTATCCGGCCAGGAGCACTGTCCAAGTTCGGATCAAGTTCATCATACAGCCAGCCGCCTGCCACACTCGGCTGAACACAAATGTGTCTGTCACAGCTCACGGCACCCATTTCAAACTGTTTGATTTATTTCCAACTAATTTCGTGACCTCAACAAAGGCCAATACTGGAACTCTTCAATAGCAGACGGTTACCATGAATTTAGTCAGCAGTTCGCCGGAATCCCCCTAACTGACACCGTGTGATTGCCTCCCGTTTAGAACTGAGCGACACGGAAGCCAATGACGCCCTGCACGATAATAACGGAAATGCAGCCGGAGCCGGCGGCGGCGGCGGCGGCGGCGGCGCGCGGGCCGACGGCGGCTCCCGGCCCGAGGAGCGCCCCGCGCTGCTGCCGGGCGCCATGCCCTGGCCCGGTCAGCTGATGGGCGCTGACCCGGCGCTCAACAGCACCGAGACCCTGCTGCGCAACATCCAGGGTCTGCTCAAAGTGGCCGCCGACAACGCGCGCCAGCAGGAGCGACAGATCAACTACGAGAAAGGTCAGTCTCGCCTCTGTAGTTTACATTTCAAAAATAGCACGTAAGGTCGCTCGGAGCCTTGTAGTAGCCATGTGTTGCACCGGGTGGAGACACAGGTATCAATAGCTCAGCGTAAGTCGGAAGCGCTGCGTGCAACCGAGCCGTCAGCATGCTCTGTCACGGCCGCTGTAAGAACGTCACGCTGTCTCGAAGCTGCCCGGTCACGGCTCTGGACTCTCCCCTACCTCTATCCCATCCCGCGCTCGGCGACAGCTCCCAGTCTGGCTCAGTGCCAAGCCACCCAGAGCCCACGCCCCAGACCTGTGACCGCAGTGCCGCCCGGGCCACGGTCTGCGGCCGCCACGGATGAACCGCTTGGAAGCGCTGTCAGCACGGCTGCGGTCAGACCTACCACGCACCTCGCGCCGCGCGTAATCATATACACCACTTCTGACTAACGACGCGTGTCTACGGCCTCAGTGCCGCGGCTCCGCGACGGGGCTCCACGGGCCGCCCTCACCGCCTCCGCTAACTGGCGGCCGCCCTCATAATGTGCCGGGTCTTTATTCTGTTGTGCTGCGGCATCGAATAATCAACGCCAAAAATGGCAGTAAAGGCTAATCATCAGAATGCAAAATACCCGGTCGCTTATCCCGTAGCGGCGCGGAGCATATTAAGGGCGGCATTTGCGGCGCGCGGCGTCACCGGCGACTGTGGCTGGGTGGGGCCGAGTGTCGCCGAAATATTGACCGGGTGTGCCTCCTTGCAGCCGAGCTGAAGATGGGCGTGCTCAGAGAGAAAGAGTCCAGGGAGAGCATGGAGCGCAAACTGCAGGAGGAGCAGAAACTACGAGGTCAGTCCATGCGCCACGCGCAAGTCACATGCCAAGCTTGGTGTACTGATGTGTCTGGTTCATATTTTCTTTTCTATCGCAGTTTGTTAGAATTTCATTCTTTTCACTGGAATATTGACTTTGCAAGCATGCTATGTCGCCTATTGAAGCTAGTCTTGGAAGCACTTAATCGCTTACACTCAATGTGGGCTCTCCCCGTGCTGCATTGTCCGACTACTTTGATGGGCTCTCCATATATCCACCTCCTCACATTAGTGTCGGCTCACATTTCCCGCGCCGGCCGGCCGAGGGCACATTTATCGTGGCGAAACATTAGCACCCCAGTGATCACCTGCGGCCTGCATTGACCTGTTGACGGTGCCACTTACCGGCGGCGCGCGCCGAGTGAGCCGTCATCGGCCGGCCGACCGGGCAGGGGAGGGTTAACGGCCCGCACTGCGCGGCGCCGAGCGGCGACAATTCCCAGCTAACGAGTCGATCGGCCGGGCGCGGCGCCGAGCTCCTTACCGCCAAACAAACAGCTGATGGTGGCCGTTTATCATCGCCCAGTAAAACTGGTATCACAACAAAGTAGCTTCCATTCCACTCTTGGCTAATAATTAAATCCAGCGTTGTCGTAAAGCCCGCGCATTAATTTCCTGGACGCCTCACCTTAATTGCGCCTCGACAGAGCCATAAATAACGGTGAGCCCGACGAGTATTTACATTTCATTTTGGCCGCCAGCTGGCTGTTTTAGGCGATTTCGTTGTTTGCCGTACTCTCGAGCTTGTTGCCAGCTAATTGCTCAATGTTTGCCGGCCGTGCACAATATCCAGCGTTTTCTGTTCGCGCTGTCAGCTCGCCGGCTGAAAATGGGCCTCTGTATTGATTCGCCATGATAAAGCGCCGCCGTAAAAAGCAGTTAGCCTGTGTAATTTGATTTATCCGAGCGCCAGGAGGGCTTGCAGCTGATACTGTCACCGCCGGTTATCTGCAAAATGGGCTGGCTGCGCCTGCTCTACTGGAGACCGGTGTCAGCCGTGCATGGTGCCGGCGTCGGGTGGGCTCGGCAGGCCGCCACCGCCCCTGCACGTGGCGCATCAGACGCTCCCTCCCCACCCCCACCGCCCCCGACCGATACCCTGCCAAAGCACACACATACACCGCTGTTTGCACCGCCAGTCTTCTTTGAAGTGGAGAGGTCATGAAATATGCCCGTCTATTTACTGCACCCGACATCACCATCGTGCTCGGACGCTCCGCTGCACGCCACCAGCGAGCGGCTCGCCGTTTCTGTAAAACGAGCCGCATTCAGATTTTGATTCGCCTTATCAATTAGCATGCCTGAAAACATCAATTAAGTCGTAAAAGTGCGACTGTATTCCATCGGTGCGACAACAATAGCGTCGTGTTCCTGGCGTCCGCTCTGAAGGAGCGGGCCGGTCGCCGTGCGCCGGTCGGCGAGGGGCGTGTCGACGGCCCATCACCCGCTCGCAAGGCTCGTATTCACCCCGTTTGGGGCGTTCTCAATTTGCGTGCCTGATGAGCCAGCTACACGCGAAAATGACAAAAACGTAAACATGGACGCTTTGCCGGCGGGCTATCGAACACGTGCAGTGGTCACGCGAGCCTTTCAGAGGTGCGCCGGCCGTACAGAGTGGCTGGGGGTCGTACCGTCGACAACGGGCGGACAAACACAGCCAGCTCGCGCTAATCGCGCCCTGTCCTCCGGCCGCCGAGTGCTTAATTCAGCCGCCCTTCTGGTGGCAACAAATTAATTATCCGGTCGAACTATCGAGCGCTCTGAGGCGGCGGCGGCGGCGGCGTCAACCCGCTCACACCGAGTCCTCAGCCGGCCGCCCCCGCCCCAGCCCCCGCCGCCGCCGCGGTACGACAGCCGCCCGTCTGTGCGCCGGCACGGCCAGCACGGCGGCTACGGCCGCGGCAGCACGCCCCAGAACGCCGGTGGAGGGTCGGAGCAGAAATAGCGGCAGCTTGAAACAGTGCCGCCTCAATATTTACCGCTCGCATATCAACAATGATCGCCTGGTCGTCTCCAGAAAACTAAGTGCTTCCAGGCGCGCGATAAAGACGGGCGCTGCGCTTTTCGGCCCCGATTGCACAAAGGCATGGTTGGTCGTGTTTGTTTTCAAGCGACTCTGAATGGAAGGAAAATATTTTTAATGGTTAAAGCGAATCCCTGTTTGCAATTTGGCCGGATCACCGACGTCCCATTCTTAGCGCTTATGTAGTCCGCGCGCCTAATAAAAACATCTATGTGCCTTCATTTTGCGCCAACGAATGGGCTATGACGGTAAAGCACGGCGGCTTTGGGCGGCGGAGGGCTGCGTCTGGTCTCTGAACAGACACAAACAGTGTCGGTGTCGGGCAATAGTCGGCGGGTGTGACTGCCTGGCACGGGGTCGCCGCCGGGGAGGGGGGGGGGGGGCGCCGAGGTGCCGTCGGCGTCGGCCAGGTCACCGACGGCGGCCCGTCTGATGTGACCGCCCACCCGGCCGGCCGGCGCGCCATCAGCTGCGCCACATTACCGCCGCGCGTCATCGCTCGTCGCCGGCCGCGCGCCGCCACCCCTGATGACTATCATTCAGCGCTTTGTTTCATTTTAATCTCCATCAATGCGCCGATCGGTCATGTTTGAGTCAAATTTCTCTGGAGTCGGCACCGCGGCTCGGCGGGGTGTCGTTGGCCGTCTAATTGCTCGGCGGTGATACACAGACGCCTCGGCCGGCCGCGCCATCCCGGGAGGCGGGCGGAGACTCGCTCCGCGCCGGGAACGAGGCCAGCGCCGGCTCCACCCGCACCCGGAACTCGAGATCGGCTGGGAAGGTGAAACCCGAGCCGGGGAACTATCGCCGGCCAAGGCAGCTGTATACGAGCGCAGCATGGTGACAAGGAAAACCGCCCGCTACAAAGCGTTCCATCGAATCGCCAAACGGTGCAACAATCGAGACAAAGGTGTTTATTTTACATAAATACCACTGTAAAGTAAGTGCATGGAGCGTTGACGTTTGCCCAATTAATAAATGCGGTACGTATTTATCGATCTGAGATACACCGGTCACTATCACCTATGGATTGCCAGCACTGTGAAAGCTCACATACATACACAGCACACAGATTGACCATCTGGTGATTATGAAAATTCCTAGCATTTATCTTCATCCATGTCTCTAGCCGTGTGAGTAATTCAATCGTCTCTCAGCTCAGGCGGGCGCCGGGGTACATTTCGCCAGTCAGAGAACCCAATCCTCCAGAATCCATCATATTGTTAGGCAGATCGCTACAGGGCACCGAACTTTCCGATTTGTGAAAGATCCCATTCTCTTAGCGGTAATAATTAAACAAGAGATTAAACCGTTTGAAAAGCGACGCTGATGAGTATTGAAAGAAATTCCAAATATCTGTCGGTTCCCTTTGTTTTCACTGCATTTATTAAAACTTCGGGCACAAGTAGAGATGGATGAAGGAAAAACACTTCGAAATTTGACAGAAATAAATGCCCATAAATCTCCCCCACACTAAGATGATTTACGATGCATTTAATTACCAAATCTATTAGCTCCCCATGCATCGGTTCACATACTGCAGAGTGCAGTTTTTCTCTTCTATGAAAAGTTTACTTTTACCTAAGCGTAGTAAAGGTAGCTGGCAACAATTATTTAATGATCGAGCTGATAATGAACAATGTCGAGCTAAAGATGCCGAACTGATACTGATTTGATAACCATCTTACAATAAACTGACACCGTTCTGATGTTCAGCTGATATTTGACTGATGTTCAGCTGATGTTGAACCGATACTCTGCTGACATTGAGCCAAAGCCGTGCTGACGCCGATCTGATGCCGGTCGCAGGGCCGGGCGGCGGCAGCTCCCAATAACCGCACTACCTGATTGATAGTCCTGCCCGTCCCGTGTCCCGCCGACGGGGGAGGAGGGAGGGGGGGGGGGGGGACGCACGCCGGCGTGTCACCGCGCGGAGATGAGGCGCGATGGCGTGTGATGACAACACGTGATGACGGCCACGGTGGGCCGTTTGATGGTAGCACACCACAGCAGCCTGCTCTGCTACAGCGGAGCAGCTCCACGATATTGGGATCGGCAAACGGCGCCGATAAACGGGGATGGGGCGGTTAGACGGAATTTTGAAATGTTGCCGCACAGGCTGTAGGAGAGTATGTAATAAAGAGGCGTGCGTATGAGTGAGCAAATGAATGAAGCTATAAAGCCATCACAATGTTAGTACAGGAGAAACGGTATCAGAGCATCTCTCCGTACTATGCTAACCCAACAGTGCCTTAGATATCACTGTCCGACCTTACCTCCCTTATTTACCTGCGATTATCTGGTGCTTTGAACCTTTTTCTACTGGCCAGTTTGTGTCCCACACCCGCCTCTGAAGGTGTCTCCCGACTGACCTCTCCCTGACCGTCTGCCCGCCAGTGATGTACCAGCGCCGACTGAAGAAGGAGCGACGCTTCCGGCGGAAGCTGCAGGAGCAGCTGATGGGCCACGAGGCCAAGAGACGTACCCAGTTCGAGGAGTCGCTCCGCAGCGCCCCGGCCGAGGCCTTCCTCGGCATGCAAGGTGAGCTACCTGCCGGGGGAAGCGAGACGGGCGTGAGATGGAATGCCATTGGCTAGGACCTGCGAAACGGTGGGCTGTCGCGAAGAGAGTAGCCCTGCGTCTTTGAACTTTTTTCAAACGATAAAGTGTGATAATATCAACAAAAAACATAAAGCAAAGCACATGGCAGAAAAGTGACGAAATGTTTTTTGATCGTTTTTACTATTTGAGTTTTATCCGAGCACATACCCTAGCGCTGCCCAAGACATCTGAAATGGCAGTAAGGCTAGCCCTTCTGGGTTGCGTGACACGTCTGTGGTAAATCCCTCGCAGTTAGGTCTTTTCGAGTATTTTTTGGTTTCACCAGCCTGAGCCGGAGCCGCTGGCTGCTTCTGTTAGTGCTGTATGGCTTCGTCATTTCCACAATACGCGTCGCCCGAAATCCAATCATTCAGTCACGAAAGGAACGGATTACCGGGTGTGTCAAACGGAGACCCAGTCGGAATCGACGGCACTTTGAGGGGTTCCAGTTGTGGTTGAACCGCTGAACTATGGCCATACGAAGCCGGAAATCACAGCCTTATTGGAAATGTCATGTAAATATGCACAGTGGCGCGGGAACTTCTTCCAGACTGGGGGGGCTGAACCATCATGGAGATCAACCTAGGGTACCCCCAAATCTAGTTTTCTCATCGGTTTTAGGCCACTTATTTTTCAGACGAAATTTTTTATTTTTCAGCCTTTTCAACGAAAAAAAAGAGAAAATATTTGCAAAAAAGTGAGGTATTCCGTCTCAGCTGAGTGAAGAAACTACCGTTTTGGCAACCTGGAATAAAGGTTTTAAGCTGCCAAATGAGTTGCCGAGTCAGTAAAATAGGTAGATTTTTCACTCACATGCTTTCTTCCTTTGTGACTCACAACCCCTAATTTGGGGAGGACAAGCTGTCCCAACGGTTCCTGGCCTCATGAAAAGTTGTGAGGCACCTCCCCCACGGCCCCAGAGTTGTGAGGGCAAGCTTCCCCACTGCCCTCTCCCCCGGTTCCCGCGCCTAAGTATGAATCTATGAAATTGTGTTGGTAGATTTCCGATTTCGATTCCTCCAGCTGGGGGGGCTCAAATACATTACGAGCCCCCCCAGCCGAAAAGTTGGAGGGGCTCAGCCCCCCCTAGCCCCCCCCCGGTTCCCGCGCCACTGAATATGCAGATATGATTAAAGATTTTATCCTAAATGAAAAGCAATCTCAAAACAATGAGTTTTACCGGCGTTAGTCGTTTATTCACCTTATATTCTTATGAGACACCAAAGTGTTGCATTTAAGCGTTTTTATCTCACCCTTAGCTCCCCTTTGGCACATTGATCCCGCTGTCCCCCGCTGCCGCGTTTGGTCGGACACAGCTTCATCTCATCAAACGGCACGGCTCGCCACCCTCTGCGGCGCATCGCTCACCCCTCTCCCTCCTCTCTACTCGCCATCCGCGGCGTGTCACGCACTCGATCGCAGTTTTTAGCCGCGCTGCGCACCGCGAGCGGTCCCCAGGGAGCGTCCAGCGTCCGCAAAACGACGCTGCGGCGCGAGATGAAACGGTACGACACAGAACGACACGGTACGACCGGGTACGCCCCGCGCCGGTCGTCGGTCCGTGGCGGGCCTGATAAAATCGACCGGCCACTCGCGTCGGGTGTTGTGGTCGCCGACCGACGGTAGTTTGCCGGCGTCTGGTTTATGTGGGCGGCCCGGCGACACGACACTTCGCCGCCACTCTGTCCGCTCCCTCACTCTCTCCTCTCCGTGTCTTCTGGCCACCGTTTCCGCCCGTCTTCTTCCCGTCTATATCTGTGATCCGCTTTCGCCGTCTATTTTTGTGGCGCTGATGCTCATGGTGTAGGCATTCCTGCTTTTACTCCACCTGTCAATTGCTCAATGCTCATAATGCTTTCCGCCATGTCCAATTGTGCCATTTTAGCTTCCTGTTATGTCTGATATACTTTCCTGTACCTCTCTCCTCCCCCCTCTCTCTCTCTCTCCTTTCCCTCCTCCATTTTTCTGCCTCCCTCTACCCGCTCTCTTTGCACCCTCAGTCTGCACTCTCGCCTCCTCTCCCAGCGGACCCGCAGCGGCCGCCATTGGCGCCTCTCTGTATACACCAGCCGAGAGTCTTGTGCGTGTGTTCTGCCCGCTGACGAGCTGCTGTTGAGAGACATGGACCGCGTGTGAGACGCGAGCGGCCCTGCGCGGCTGAGGTGCCGGCACTGGCACTGTGCCCAGCACGGCACCGCACCGCAGCTCCTACAGGCAAACGGCCTCTGCAGGAGCGCAAGTGATGACTGCTATAATAGTCGCGATTTTCGAGCGTTGTTATGTTTTAGATGGAAACTTTTTTTGCATCAGTTTCAAAAGATCCTGGTTTGAAGTAGACACATCATATGAAGACCGTTTAGGTAATGATAGATGATGCGATAGGACGAAATGGTAGCAGTGCTCCGTCTGTAGATCTATTTCCTGATACGGCAGCGCCGTCCCAGCCGACGTGCGGCCCTCCGCCATCTCCGAACTAAGAGCGGCCGACTCGGTGCGACCTCGGGCCGACTGTTTCCAATGATTGAGTGGCCCGGCACCACTTAGCTCCAGATAGCCGGTCATTTGTCGGACAATGGCGGAAATATGTGACGCGACCACCGGCGATTGGTCGACTGCGGTCGCTCTTAGCTGGCGACTGGACTGGCTGGGAGGGGCGGGCGGCTGGGTCTCTGTCACAGCCGAGTCACCATAATGGGGGACGGCGGGGGTGGGGAGAAATTGGCTTTACTTGCGCAAGGCAAAATTTGTCTTTTGAGTACCTTTTGAGATGAAATGCAAAGTTAAATGTGTATTTCCGTAGAAGAAATCAAACGATAAGGTAGGAACTGTTTTTTAGGGTTTAGTCAAAATGTGAACGGTTTAACGCCATGCCATAAAAAGACTACAAAGCAATCGCCTTGCTGGTCAAATGACTGAAATGTATCTATTGCAACATCAAGTAGGCAATATTTCAATCGTGTAGCAGAATTTAGGGAGTGAGAAGCACTTCAACAGAACGCCAGTTAAACATACACTCATAATCGTTTATTGGAAGCAATCATCCTGTCTATTTTAACTTCCACGACTTATGTTTCCCGCTCCACGAACAGACAATCACCTCGGAATGTGTTGGTCGGGACTCGTATTTAACCGAAATGAGGCCGCCAACTGACACCGGTTCGACAGGTGGACGGGTCGGCTGTCGGGTTAGGGCGCTCTCTGCGCCTCTGCATCTGGGAACGCCGCCAATAATGATGACACCCGTTCCGGAGAGCGGTAATTGTATGATTACCCCGCTCTCGGGCCGGCAGTGAGTCAGGTGGAACGGCCCAGACCGGCACCGAGGTCACCCGCCGCAGCTCTGTTCCGCCACCTTTGCTTAGTGTTCAGCGTTCATCGCCTTTGTCCCACCACCTGTCCCATTGCCTGTCCCACCGTTAATGTCCCCAGTTTGAGCCTCCTCCCCGAACGCCTCTGTCCGACATCCCGTTCATCCGACATCCTCTGAGCCCCACAACCGCCCTCCTTTTCGGTCCCAATCTTCTATAGCTAACCGATTTCGCCATCCCAAGCGCCAAACATGAAAAATGCCGCCAACCCTTTTGTTATGGTAGAAATAAACCGTATTTCATTTGTGCGGTGCCGCGCGAGCCGTCGCCCGTGAAATTGAGCAAAATCACAACTGACGTGGCACTACTCCGACCTAATCTGTTTCAAAAGCCATAAAAATCCAAACTCGACCGGCGACGCGCTGTAATCTATCAAGCGAAAGATAAAAATATGGACTTTATGGACAGCGGCCGGTCGTATTTTCCGCCGGCCGGCCGGACCCGTATTGGAATCGGCTGACCAAATTGGCGGCGGCTGGCGTCGTGGAGACACCCACCGCAACAGTCCCGACCAGTGCAATATCAATTTAACTGAAATATGAGTCTGCATGAATATAAATGGAGTGTTATAAGAGTATCGGCGCCGATCGGCCGGCTGGGTATCTGTCCGGACCGGGCGGCGCCGCCGGCTGCGGAGGGCCCGGCGGCTCCGGCCGCGGGCCCGCTCCTACCCAGCCGAGTGATGGCCGCTCGGGGCCCAATGACGGCGCCGAATTATGCACCCGGCTTAACTCGGTGGCCGCAGATGGGCCCATCCGGTCAGCGGCCCCGCCGCCGACGTCCGACCGGCCCGGTGGTGCGCGGTCCGCCGCGGCCGCTCTGAATGGCAGCCAGGGCTGCTGCACGTTCGGCGGCCGCTCGACCCGCTCGCTCGTTGTTTTCTGCACTGGCGATACCGCGGCGGTCCATGAAGTGCCAGGTGCCAATCACGATGAGTTATGCGGTTCAGAAACATGCACAATTACGGCCGAATATATAATCATCGTAACATGGGAAAAGTTATATTGAAGACACACGCAGATCTCCAGTGTCCGTGAGAGCGGCTAAAAGGCGGAATATGGAGGAAAGATATATGATACCGCATTTCGGGTGGAGTAAAATATTGAAGCACTTGCATTCCTTTGCACGTAAATGCTAATGCAATACAGAACGGGCATGTTAGGCACTAATAAACCACCACCGCCATCGCATGACCCAATCCAACACACCAAATTTGACAACAAAACCCAAAAGTCCAACGCTAGCCACCGATGCGCCCACTCGTTCAGCACAGCATTCACACCGTCTCTTGTTGTCTGTTGCAGACAAGGCCAATGAGGGTGTGGCGCGGCCGCCGGGACAGCAGCCGCCGCCGCCGCACGGACCCCCGCCAGTCAGCTCGCCCATGCCCGGTTAGTGAACGAGGGTGAGGGGGGAAGTGGGATATATGTAGGGCTACACACAGACCCAGATAGGACGAGGGAGGGTGGGGATAGGTAGCTGCCGGTACGCTGGGACGTCCGAGCGCGAGCGCTGGGAGGGCGAAAGTGACCCTTCTGGCGGCGAACACCTATCAGGCGCGGCGGTGGGGTTTACACACGCAGCTTATAGAAGAAACTTTATTTTAACGTAACATCTTGCATTCCAAAGTCACATTTTCACAGGAAAGAAACATCTCACGGGCGGTTAAAACGCACACCAGCCTTATCATTCCCACCCAATAGGCTCTATTGGTCGAGACTCAGGAGTCATGTCCACGCACAGTCGCTTTGGTGGCCATTCGGTGCGCGCCGTGGACCGTAATGGCGGTGGTCGGATCGAGCGTGACCGAGGCTGCAATTGTGGAGTATCATGCACGGCCGGGCGGACCAATCGGCGCAGCTCTGAGCTGTCTGAGGACGGGATAATCAGCGCGCCCGGAGCGTGACGGCCGTTCCGATCGGGCCCGATCCGTACCTGACCGGCTGGGGGAGACCGCGGAGTCGCCCCGTCCGCGCATAGAGACCGGACGTGGCGCTAGGCGGATAGACACTCTGACTGCAATGTCTAACAAGAGTGCCTACTAATATAAAATCGATCGCAGCCAATAGTGGAAAAGACAACAAAAGAGCCTGTGGTTCAATCAGCAGTCACGACCTACAACGGACATTGCTACTGGATGGCCGGGCATCGGTCGAAAGAATTTTGATTTATCGCATATGGAACGACAAAAGTAGTTACCTTTCTGTCTCCCGGTCAAAGCATGTTTTGCATACATGTCTTATGATAGCACATTTTTCCACGGAGTCACGTTTTTATTACAGTCGATTCTACTTTCAATCACTATAAAACGATTGACCAAAAATGACCGAACTTAACCGATTTGGCCTTACGATAGGTCACGAGCCAGGTCGAGTAATGACGCGTGACATACTTCTGATATTGGCTAAGTCCTGGATGCAGGCAACTTGATCAATTTAATCTGCATATATAGGTACAAAGGGAAATTGTATGCTTGCGCATGCTGATCTTCAACCTTATGTTTAAGTTAGCTCCGAATAGAGCAATTAAAATAATAAGTGACCTTAGAAAAAAATATATTGTTAAAAGCTCGTCAAACGTATTGATTGGACAGCTTTATGGCAGGAAGACACGGAAGAACATTGAAGACAAAAGATATGTTTCGACATAGTGTAATAAATAACTATAATAATAAGTTATTAATATAATAATAATAATAAAATTAATATAATTTTTTAATATAATAAAATAATTATAATAATAAAATAATAAGTTATTTATTACACTATGGTTTCGATTACGCATATCGTCATCAACGTCTTGAAAACTTGTCTTCACAGTTCCAACGCACAAAAACGACTTTCGTAACCTCACAACTCGTCTCTCTTTTTTCAGATCCACGTGGTGTGTTCTACGGCACTTCGCCCATGTTTTCTTCGGCCACGTAGAGTCAACTCAGCAGCGACCGGCTGGGTCACAGGGCTGCGCGCTGACCTGCACACTAACTGACCAGCGCGCTGACCTGCGCGGCTCTACTGGCTGGCCGTATCGCGCAGTACAGAGACGCCGGACACTAGCAACCAGATGCAACCGGAAGAGGCCCGCACAATACCGTTCTTAACTCTAGTCCTTAATGACATCGTCACAGGGAAGTTGTCAGTGTGCCGCCCCCAACCCCGGCCGCCGGGCGAGCTTCCGGCATCGGCATATACCTTCCGGAAGATGTGCATCGCGTTTACCTGGCGTATACAAGGCGCATACGAGCTGCGCGCCCGCATACGGCGCTTGTTGCTGTGTAAATAAACTGAACTTGCCGCTAGAACGGAGAGCGTGCAACCGGGGGCCGTGCAGCGCGATATTTAAACATACCTAGCTTCTCTCTGGCGGAGTGGTTATATGTTAGTCAAGTGCGGGCGTCCTTCTCTTGATGTGATCGTGTGACCTGTGTAGGTGTTTTGTGTGTGGGTGCGTGTCAGCGTGTGTATGTGTGCGTGCAGTGAGTAGTACTGATCTCAGCTCGTGTACATACGTTCGCTGTAACAAAGGCGCCTGTAACGCTACCGTTTACTGTGTTGTGTATCATCGAATTAACGCAGCGCGCGCAGACCCTCCGAAGATGTAAATCTCCCAACTATGTGGGCGTGTCACTGCGAACTGTAGAGCGAGAGGGGTAGCACGAGAAACGTTCAGAGTAGTGCCACTTTTAGTCTGTTTTCTAAGACACTGGCCGAATATTTAGTGAGCTGACCCTGGTGGCCTATTCTGTACTCAACGCACACTGCAAAGCAATGAACTCATCTGCACATGTCACGGTGCGCGACATCTTCACCCTGGCCGGCGGCGGCGCTGCGCCGGCGCCCAAACGGTATCATCTGGCCGTCAGAGCCCCATCTCTCCCAGCCGGACCCGTTTGATGTCGCTCTGAAGTGGCTCTGAGCCGGTCAAGGGCCGCCGAGTGCTGTGCGCCCGCGGGGCGCTCTTCAGTGGGCCTTTCCCCGCCGCGGCTCCCGCGACAGGCGTGCTCTTCCCACACGGGAGACACCAGTCTGAACAGTTCCTTCTTCATAGACCGGCTGGGCCGACACCCGGCCGCGGCGTGATAGTCCCTTTAAAGAGACACTGCTTCTTAGAGAGATGTGCGTGAGATTGAGTGTCCCTACTATGGTGAGATCTTGTGAAGGAGTGGTCGTTTTCGTTAATGTGATTCTGGAGTGTGTGCAGCGTGTGGCCCGGCAGTAGCGTAATCCAGACGGGCATTGCAGTATTACCGTTGGCCAGAGCGTGTCACGCGGTGACCCGGCGGGGCACGTGTCACCCACCGCCCGCTGCGTGCGCAGGCAGGAGCCGCGTCCCTGACAGTCTGCGGCGAGCATACACCGTACCGAGTTGGGGGAGGCGGGCTCCCGGCGCAGGACTGCGGTGTCTGTGTCGGCGGTAAAGGCGCCGTCACAACACCCGTCACACACCCTCGCCCATCACGGCGGCGGGGGCGGACTCGCGCCCACACTCCCGTCTTCAGACCCGAGCTAGGCGAGAGTCGAGAGCATCGTGAGTCCTCGCCCGGCGGAGCTGAGAGCGCTCCTCGTGTTATCGGGCTCGCTGTACAAAGGTATTCGTTCACTTTGTTTCAGGGATGTTGTACACTGGTCTGTGCCAAAGGACAGTTCGTAGATATGTACCTATATGTACTAGATGTTACGGAAGAACTGTGTAAATACATTTTGGCCCGTTCTGTATTGTGTTGGGTTGGCTTACGGACTCGGTTGGAGATGGGAGTCCAAAGTCTTGGTGTCATCGACCACGGAGGGAACCGATTCACATTACACACCAGACCTGTTGAAACTGGGTCCAAACATTTGTTAGCTCACAGCGGGGAGGAGTCTTTGTGTCTGACCTTCCATTATTCACGAAATTTCACCGATGCGATTCGCCTGGCACGACTTGGAGAGCAGCTAGAGAGAAAGAGAGAGAGAGAGAGAGAGAGAGAGAGAGAGAGAGAGAGGAGAGAGAGAGAGAGAACATAGAAAAAGAGAGAGGGAAGCGATGGAGAGGGAAGCGCGATGATGAGTACAGCCAGAGCCTCGGTACTCTGGTTCAATTTCTGATCCAATTTTGTGAAGTTTTGTAGCACGAGCATATGCGTAAATCAGTAAAAACAGCCGTTAACGTGCATCGCAAGAGAGTCTTCATTTTTTACTGGATTACCCGGTAAAAAAGAACAGCTGTCTGCCTGTCTTACAAGAAGTTCCACGGCAAACGAGCATTTATATGCTGTAAGGTTATTACAGATCCATGTAGTTCCATCCATTCGCGAAGATCAGCTTTCGTAAAAACCATTTCCGAAAAATATTGCGATAGCGCTTGATCGTCGCGGCAATTGACAGCTTTTCTATCTTTATCTGCGGAGCAATCGGCCCTCTTCGTAGGCTCACGGCCGCCTCGGCATGACAATATGCCTCGATTATGGTCTTCGGCCAATATAGTTATGCATGCCTATAATGTTGCATCAAATACCAATGATTACACGTAATTATCTAAGAGCCTGACCTGCTTACAGTTATTGAATTTATAGCAGACATAATTTGTTCTTTATTGGTGCAGGTGTTGAACCAGATTTCTGCCTGGCATGATATGCTCGTTTTTAATTTTATCTACCGCAGTTGCTTGCACTGTCGGTCAATCATGCTAGATGTTTCATCGGGCTGTGGGTACCGACCTATAGGTACTGCTTGCTTACATGTGATAAAAGCAGGCTAAAAATTCTTCCAGAAAATGTTTTCATTAACTAGCACAAATCCGAAATTTGTGAAAAAGGCTCACTATATGGCTGATAGGTACACATAAAAATAAAATGAAACTAGTGCAACGAGCGGGTTCATAAAAAACAATTAATCGTGAAGCATCTACCGCTACCGTTCACCCATTTCCAGTCTCCGTAATTTCCCCCTATCGACATTGGGGGTTAGGTTATGCGGCACATCGCAGCCCTAATGTTCGCAGAGCCCGCCGACACAGGCTGTTTGTTTTCCGGTCGTGGTCGATCTTTATGGCTGCGTTACTGGGCGGCGACTGCCGAGTGCGTCCCTGCCGGAGGGCGGCGCACGGCTGAGGTGTGAGTGGCGGTCCTATGAGGCTCCCTGCGGCTCTGCGGTCAGACTGGACAGGTGGCCACATGGTCGAGCGCTCCGCGCCCGCGGCGGCGGCTACTGCAGCCCGGCGTCATCGGCACTGAACATGACACCTCACTCACGGTCAACGATAGGTGCCATCACGGTCCGGTTAATTCGTTAATTTCCCCGACTCTCCGCCGATGAAAACGTCAGCGCCGCGCCGCTCAACACTGAGCGAAACCGCAGAGTCGGTGTACCCGATATTACATTTCTCATTCCGTTTTATGGCAATGCATCCACCCCTCTGTTTCGTAAGCTGAAAGTGGACAGTAAAGCCAGCGCCGTTCGATATCCCACTAAATGACGGGATCAATTTATACGTCAGATCATGAAGCGCGGGTTAGCTCTTGCAGTCCGTGCACGAACCGAGCTTTGATGATACAGACGCCATCTTTTAACGATAAGGCCAATATCACTAGTTTTGCCTGACGGTTGCTATATGCATTCTGAATCACTTGCAACTCTCATCAGCTGTCAAGCTAATTACGGCTCGGTGCATTTAGGATGAAATACAATAGTACACGATAATTTTATCCGTCTGCGGCCGGCGGGCGAACTCAGGTAACGACTGGACCGGCCTGTAACCTGCCCCTGTTAGAGGCGGCTCCAGTGCCGGGCACCGGAGGGGGCAGGACGCAGAGATCACGCAGCATTGTCCCTCCAAACGGACAGGCAGACACATACAGCTGACTCCGACAGCGAGGACGGTCTCTGTTCCACTGCCCCCACTCTCCCAGCCACACCCTAAGGTGACGGCCGACCCGCCCCGCCGCTGCCCCCCGGACAGGTGTCCTGGCGCCGCCTCTGGCGCCGTATTGCATGCAGGAAACTGCACATATCTGTGGGGCGCGGCGGCCGCGGCCGTGATTTGTGTGATATGTACGTTTCTGATGGATACGTGCATGGCCCCAGGCGCAGAGTTTGCGCCGGCGACTGTGTGAAAGGCGTCCAGCTATGCAAATGGGGCCCAAACGGCCCCGGCGGCCGAGGAGCAGGGGTGGGGCGGGGTGAGGGGGCACTGGGGGCAAGGGCGAGGGGGCAGCGGGGCCTGGGGGCAAGGTGAGGGGGCAGCGGGAGCAGAGATGAGGGGGCATTGGGGGAATGGGTGAGGGGCCCTGATGAGCATGAGTCAGGGGCACAGGTGAGGGGGCGGCGGGGGCAGGGGTGACGGGGCAGCGGGGCCGGGGTGGGGGTTACTTGGGACGAGGCTGAGGGTACCAGGGCAGGGATGAGGGTCCCTTAATTGGGGCGGCGGGAAGGTCAAAGGGGTATCTGATGGCAATGGTATCGGGACACAGGAGGAAATGTAAAGGAGTGAGGGTGATATAAAATTAGAGAAGGGTGCGGGCAGTGGGTTGAGGGGTGAGAACACCTTCACCCTTTATTTAAATGGATACGTAGGACTAAATCACCAATATACGTCCCAGAGCACAGGGCATCAGCAATGCCGCTTCCGGCGTACTTTTATTGCTAAATCGCCGTGCGTAGGCGAGTCACTCTCCGCGATGATAGCCACTAACTCATAACGCCTTAAAACCTCTGACATATGCTCGCAGGTATGCCAATCGCCATTCGACCTGAAACATGTAGCAGTCCTGCTCAAAGTCAGACGTTCCGGTCGTCTGTTTTTGCTGGCCGCGCCCTCGCGCTGTTGTAGCGGCCGTCTACACAGTTTGTGTCTCAGCGGGCGTACGGATGCGGTCGGCGGTCAAACAGACAGCAGCGCCGACCGCTCCCCGCCGACCGGCGCGCCACTCGAGTGATGCTCGGTTTGTCTGTTCGACAGGAGGTTTATCCAAGCCTGCCAGCGTAGCCCCCTCCCTGCCCCGAGCGGGTCCCCTCCCTGCCCCCCGGGGCCCCACACGGCGCCTCGAGCGGCGCCGTGCTCCGAGCACCCGAGCTGTCAGTCAACTGACAGCGACAGGACGCTAGTCCATTGGCTTTGGAACCGGTGTCATAAATGTACACAAGATTTATCAACACAAGATGGAAGCAAACATATTCTTTTCAGTAACGGCGGAACACCCTCAATTAAGGGGGGGGGGGGGTACTGCCGACTTTTGGTCCCATTCTTTCCATGCAACGCCCATAGGACTAATGTTAAAATGCAAAAATCAAAGGGGGGCACGGTGCCCTGGTGCCTTCCCCGTTCCGCCGCCTATGATTCTTTTTGATAGTTTTTTTTTTTTTAGGGCGGGTCCTGGGAATCCTTATGAGAGCGATATGTACTGTACAGATCTCGCGGGTTTTAGCGGTAGGTTTTGCACCTTGAACCTTTAGTGTACTTCAGGCTATATCTTCGTCGTCTTAAGCTTTTAAGTGTTGAAGATACGATCGACTTGTTGGTTCACAAGCCGGCCATGATCGTGTAAAATGGCTTCATCGTAGATCAATTAGTTTTTGAAATATAACCGGAAATGTAAAAGTGCAAAACCTACCGCCTAATCTCGCAAGAGCCAGTACCAAACAGTCCACTCAGAGTGAGCAGATCAGAGAATGGAGATGGATATTGGATATCGTAGTCAGATGCTCAGATGTGCATCAAGTCATCGTCAGGTCAAAGGCGTGTCCTCAAACGGCATGCAAACCCTGCACGGTGGGCATGAATGCTCTCTCTGTACATACATTCCTGCTGCAACGACTGATTTACGGCTAACAGGCACGACGCAGCGGCGCTCCAAAAAGTTCAGCGAACTCGACTTTTATACACATTCCCATGTGCTGAATCCACCGCTTTTCAGCGCCATAAATGCACCTACGCGGCATGTTGAGCGCACCACGCCCACGGGACACCCCGATGTTATGAGCAATGATGAGCCACCCGGATTCCGGATTGTCACTTCCCTTCCTTTTGGCTCTCTTACGTGGTGAGTCTTCCAGGATCTGTCAAGAAAAGCCACTCGGTATTTCTCTAAGCATTTTCCTCACTGCCGACTCAGCTGTAAAATATGGGCAACAGAGCTCCCTTTTTGAAAAATACATCACCTGAATAAAGAGCTTATGGACTGTCGGGCATAGTCAAATGTCTGTATCTGCCTTCAATTACAAGAGCGCGGCGAGATGTATGTTGGTTGGGTGCTGCTGACGGGGACCGCACCTGTCGGGTCAAGGTCAGAGGTCACGCTCGGGGTGCCGGGCGGCGGGTGCAGAGGGCCGGCCCCACCGCCCCCGGTGACATGTAAACCAGGGGCGGAGGTCGGCGGACCGCAGAGGCGCGCCCCGCCGCCGGGACATTTCTGATCGCCGCCCAGAGCCGAAAACCGGCCCGGCCCGCTCGACGGACCCGAATTACGCGACGATGAAGACCAATTTGGATTTCGGCCGCATACTGATGGCATGATAAGAATTCTTGCTGGGATTTAGGACCCGTAAATAACGCGGGGATAATGTTGCTCAGCTCGGCTGTATGTTGGTTTAGGGGGCGTAACACAGTGAGTGATGCGTCATGTGCAACCAAGATAGACATGCCCTGAGCTTGCATTCATGTGCACATGAATGCTCACATATATAACCCGCGGTGCTTAAACAAAAAACATAAATTTGGTCCACCGTCTCACTCATC